TGCCCCTCTCCTAAGAGTCCAGTGGATGGCATGCTGGGAACTGTAGTGCAAGATGCAGGTGATGGAGGTCAGGGAAGAAGTTGGGGGTGGATTCTGGTCAGCTCAGTTTGTGGTGAGCTCCTACTGGCTCAGAGTTTGTTCCTCAATGTTCCTCTGACTCTGGCACATGGAGAAGAGGTCTGAGGAGTTGGTTACCTCTGTACACCATTTGAAAATGGCTCACTGTCTGGTGCTCCCTGCAGAGCTAGAACCACAGTCTAGCAGGTGAATAAATTGTATGTAGAAACTTGCCTGTGAGCTGTTTCTATAAACCAGATCCAAAAGCCATCCTTCGTTCTCCCATGGTATAGATAAACTGACTGAGCGTTTAAGCTTACCAAGTCCCATGCCAAAGCTTAGGTTTGCATATTTGTCACCTGGGGTAAGTTGTGAGGACAGTGAGTGTTAGATGCAGAGAGGAAGGCAAGAGTAAGCTGTGGGATGGTGTGTGAGGAGGAACACCCTGCCTGGGGCTTGGCTCTGAACCTATTCTCTGCAGCTGCATTCAGGCCTCCACTGGGAAGTGATGTGCTTTGAATCTTCATGATAACTCAGGTTGGCATTTTATCCTAAGAGGGGAGGCCAGTAAAACATTTGAATCCTTGGCCAGCCCATGCTTCATCATTTCCATCTTTTTCTGTTACAGGTCAGATAGGTGGTAAAGTTGTAAGGAAGAGAAAAAAGGGCAGAAGTATACAGGTTGAGCCTGTGTTTTGGGGAACATGGATTATTTCTGGAACTATTGCATCAGATACTGGGCTTCCAGGAAGTTGACAACTGCCATCCATAAGCATCCTGGAGGCAGCTGCAGATAAACAAGGTGCGGATGAAGATCCTTTAGAAACGCTACATTTGCTGGCATGCCTCCTCCAAGGAAGGTTCATCTCAAGTTAGAGTCTGTTCCTCTTACCACCTTCCTTCTGCTTTCTAAGCTGAAGGGTCTGCTTACTATTCATTCTTGTGATGAGAATGTGGCTTCTGTTTATAGGTCCAGAGGAGGGTCTGATTAACCTGACAGTTATATGCATGAGATGTTTTCAAAAACTGAACATCAAGGAGTTTGTGAGTTGACTCTTGTGTATAATTACAGAGTTTGTATATTACAGGCTTGCTTATGGGGGGAAATGAGCTTGTGAAATAGTAGGTGTGAGGACCCAGCCTAGGGGCTTGGCAGTCATTCAGCCTATCACACTGACATCCTGCCATCATTTCTCCCAAATGTCCACAATTTGATGTTTAATTAAAAAAAAAATAATTGACAAAGGTGCCCATTTCTGATCAACTCTGCATTGCCTGGGGAAGAACTAAACAGCAGAAGTTCCAAAACCCCTGTTAATTGGGATTTCACTGAATGGAACATGCATTCAGGAGAGAGGGGCAAGGGAGAAGGAAGGGAGCAAAGCAAGAAGAAAGATGAGGAGAAGTAGAAGGAAGTCTATTTCTTTTGTATAGAGTCATTCCAGAGATATCATGAAAAGCAAATTAAACGATCTTTCAGCAAGAATTTTGACAGGAAAATTTCATTAGGGATTTCCATCTCTATGGAAGCTCAAGTTGCTGCATTAAGATATGAAAATTGTGCAAACATTATTCCTTAGAATAATGTTGGCTGCAGGTCATTGAGTCCATCAGTAAATTTAGAGTGATTAGTGTCACAGAAAAAGTAACTAGAGGAAGGAGGGGCTCAGGGCAAGAAGGGAAGAGCCCTGTCCTTGGAGCTCAGCCCCCAGAGTCATTTGGATCAGAAGTTGGATTCCAGCATTAACCAATTATGTGACCTTGAACAATTTAACATATGGGAGACCTAATTTCCTCATCTCCAAAATGTGAGCAACCGTAGTAACTCTCTGCTAGACTCTGATTGTAGGAGTGTAATAAGATAATCCAGGTAAAGCCCCTTAGCGCAGTGCCTGGCACACATGAAACCTAACTCATATGAATATGATTATGGTAATGAGTAAAGGAAGTAGGCTGGTGTTTATCTGGCACTGACTTCCTGTCACTTGCTGTGAGAGTTGCCTCTGGGTGTTATTATCAGCATTATTCAAATGAAAATTCTGAGGCTTAGGGGCCAGATAAATCAGATGAAATCATAAGAGTAAATATTTCCACAGACTTTTGCCCAGGCTTATGTATACATATATTTTTCTCCCTCGCTGGCCTCTGTGAATCTCAGAGACTAAATCTTTTATACACCTTTGTATTAACAGAATCACACTAATTACATGGGCCTTGGTGATAGCTCAGGGAATGTTTGGGGAATGGAGTGATGATTGCAAAAAAATATGGATGCAAGCATGGATGTTTAGGAAGTAATCTATAGGTTTTCAATGCTTTCTTTTTCTAATTTAAGGGCATCCTGGCATTCTGAGTCAGATAAAGATGTGCCAATTTACAGAGCACATAGAAAAAGAAAAAAAATCATAAAACATTCATAATCTAGACACTGAAAGTCCCTTATACTATTTTTGCATATGATATTTTCTACATTTAGGCCAAAGGATGTTCCTTTTGTAATCCTATATGAAAATATTTTTCTGTCTTGCTGTTTTACTTTATGGAGTTATTAGAATAATCATTTTAATGGTAGTTTAATAAAACATTACAGCTAGCCTATTGATATTTTATTTAAGCATAATCCTGTTGGTTTTCTAGATGTGTCCATTTATTATTATCATAAATATCATTGCACCAAATATTTTTAATATAAGACCTATGTCTCAAATTTAGAGGTTAAGTATGGGAATATTTTACTATGAGATGCATATAGTCCATATGTATGTCTAATCTACAACTTTTTCATAATGAAGTATGGCATCCAGTCAAAAAACAAGGGCACTTGATTAGATTATTTTAAAAAATATATTTCACCCTTTATGTACCAGTATGAGGTTTTTCCCCAGTACAAGTAGGGAGGGAAGGGAGATAGGCAGTAAGGATGAAAGAAAACAATGAAGGGAAGAAGGGGAAGAAGAATAAAGAAAACAATTTAAAAAAATGAAGCAGTGGGGAAATAGATGTGAAAGAGAAGGGGAAAGAAAGAAAAAGAAAAAAAAAACAGGAAAACTACATCAGACAAAATGAGAAAAGAAAAATAAAAGGACAACAGCAACTCCATCATTTCGTAAACTTTATAATATCCCAGATGTCTCCAATATCAACCATCCCTTTCAGATAATAGCTTGACAGTGGTCCAAGTCCAAGATCAAAAAATCTACAAAATACTTTAGTCACTTCCCCCAAGGTTCAGGGGACCATAGTTCACATTTCTAAGAACGAAGAAAGTCTATGCTGGGCTTAACATTTCTAGTTTTTAGGTGACCTTCATTTATTCATAGAGAACAAAAGTGCCAAGAAAAGAGTTATTAGTACTTTCTAGTGTCTTGCTCACCAAGATAAAATACAACCGTATTAAATTCCATGCAACTTTTCCTTTTAAAGAATCATTGCATTTACCTGAGGAAATGCAGCTAGAAATTCACAGAAGAAATAAAAATACACATTTTGAAAGGATGTCGAAAGAATGCTGGCATGTTCATCATGCAGACACACTCACAGGAGAACAACCTCTTTCAGTAGTCAATACGCAAATTTTGCTAAAGTTGGTGTTATGCTTGTTTGGTGTTCAGAAAACCATAATACTGCCTTTATGATTTGGAAATGCCTGTCATTATCCTCAGTGAACTAAACTGCCGATTCAATAGATGCCCCCTTTCCTTAGCAGTGATTCAATTGTAGCCATCATTGAAAGCACAGAGGTAAAAATTTCATATTTAACCAAATTGGGCATATTAGCATACACAAAATACTGTTTAATCCATATAGAAAAGAAAATTCACAACTAGCATTATTTCTATGGCAAATTGTCTTCTTTCATGAATGGAAAAATGTCATTAGTATAGTTATGGTCGATATACAAACAGTGTTGCTCAAATGAGGTTTTCATAGCTGAAAGTTTATTATATGCATCTTTCCTTAATTCAGTGAGTATGTAAATGTTCTTAATTTAACATTATCACAAATTACCAAGTAGAAGGTAAGAACCAATATAATACTCTAATTTCCATAATATTCTTTTGGAGAAATAATAAAACTTCTTTTGTGTACTGGGGTGATAGTGGCAGTGAGGAGCTTAAAGCTAAGAGAGAAGGATTTGTGGGTTCTCAGTGGAGATTGGTGGTAGAACGGCATTCAGAGACCCACCATATTGCTGGAGAAGACCTAGCCCCGCAGAGACCCACCATATTGCTGGAGAAGACCTAGCCCCGCATGCAGTTAGTTCTGGCAAGTGCTGAACTTTAACATCTCTCACCACTTTCTACAAAAGCAACAATGTGTTGCTATTATAATGATCCTGACTGGAAAGGGGGAGGCAATGTAGATGTACAACTTAAGCTCTCCATCTGGAAGCACTCAGCTGTTTATGAAGACGCTGATAGAATGGCAAGGACAGATGAGACCCTGGCTGGGCTGAGAAACCAAGCCCAAATTAAAATTAACAGGTAGTCCTAATATATTTCTGAAATGTGGCATAAATATAGGTACCTGATTTGAGACATTTTGGGATGCTTACAGACTCCATGCCTGTAGTCATCAAGCCTTCTCCAGATTTTGGCTAGATTTGCAAGGGACTCTAAGCTCTGAGAAGCACCTTTCCCTCCTTATAGACAAAAAGCTGCGAGGGGCATTTTGGACCAGGTCCCGCCCACTCTACAATGCCAGTCTCTGAGCCTTGCCAAGAGGTTTTCCACCTCCCTTCTGCTGCCAATTGAACTGTGTACTTATATTATTGTCATGTGGATTACCCCAGTAAATTCATACTGAAGTTATATGCATCTGGCTTGAATGGCACAAGTGAATGTCAGCATCCTAAAGATCTCCAACCTAGTAAAAAAAGGTTTGCTCAGAATAAGGTATGCATATATGTTGTATAAGAGAGAGAAAGAAAATGCTCGACCTACTTGGATCTGATAAGATGGAGTCAGTTTTCGGCAGAAATTGATCACAACGGACGCCTTGGTAGCCTTCTTTACACCTGAGAAAAGGAGAGAGATGACATAGGCATGTGGTTGTGAAAGACCCAAGGTTTCAACAAGCAAAAGAGCCGACAATTACATACATGTTAGAACAGTTCATTCAGACTGTTACTTTATTTGGTTCAGTCTAACACTGACAGGTTTTAGTTTATTTCTGTTCAAAACACCAGCACTGCTTTGCTTTTATAGTTTGATATGTAGTGCCTATCAAGCAAATTGAATAGCAATTTAAGCTTCCGCTCCTAGCAATCTGAAAAATGGTCACTCTCATATTACAATTCTGGATGCAAGTATATTTTTCTTTATTCAACACACTGGTCTCTAAAAGGCTGCAATACCCTTTTAGAAGCATTATATTGTACATGTCATTTATCTAATGAAAAATCATTTTTTCATATAACTGACCAAATATCAACAGCAGATTTTAGCTACCACTTATTTCCTTTCATTTTATTAGTTTGTTCATTTGCTACTTTTATTTATTTATTTATTTTTACTTATTCTTCAAGTTACTTAAGACATTTGGCCAGGAATAAATGCATTTGTTTGGATCTGGCAAGTTCTGAAAAGCATCTATGTCTCTGGACAAGGTCTTTGTGCACATTCTATAAACTCACATTTTTCTCTCCTCATTTTTATTTTATATTCAGGAAACATGTGCTAAGTGCCTGCTTTCTGCCTGGCATTGTACAAGGCAACTTTCTAAGGCAGGCACCATTTGGAAGCGAGGAATTCGCCTGGAAGCACCTGCAGTGAGGCATGTCACTTCAGCCCTGCCCATCCTCCATTGTGTCTTCACACAGCTCATTCAATCAGGGCCGCTTGGCCGCCTTGGACAACATCAGCTCATCATCTGGCAGTTCAAGGAACAAATGCAGCCAAGGCCCCAAATGTCTGCCTTTGCACAGTCTCTGTGAGGAGGGAGGTGGAGCTCAGTGGTCTGCTTGAAGCTTAATCTGTCATGCTCAAGTTAAGCAGGGAAGCATCCATTGTTGCTTATGGATAAATCCGTCCTACTTACAGAGAAGAAAATTGTGCTGCTGGCATAAAAATCAGATTTAAAAAACAATCCTCCGGTTGTTAGAGATCTATGAAATTGACAAAAGAATTGTAAGAGACCATTTTATCAGAGACTGAAGCTGTGGGTTCTGTTTTTCAAATATGCTTTGTTTTCTAAGTGTGATCAACTACTAGATAAGGGCTATTGCAACTGCAGGCGCAACATGGAAAGATACCTAGGTCATTTTTCTACCTTTCCTTGGGAGCCAAATTGGAATTCAGGTAATCAGACAGGCTCTCTTTAGTACCTTTTTAAGCTGGCACTCTGGAGTCTATTTGGCAATTTTCCTCATAGACTGAGAACAAAGACTTCTGATATATCAGGCCCCAAATACCCAAAAGGCAATTGAAAGATTTTTCATAACTTTTTTTTTTTTTTTTTTTGGTTTTTCACTTCTTCTTGTACTTGAAAGCAGTATAGCACTCGTTCTATACATGTTAAAAGTCAAATAATGTTTAGGACCAAAGCACATCTGTGATGGAAAAAAGATTCCTATTCTCTGAAAGTCACTGGTTTGCCCTTGTACAGAATGACCTGAATTTTCATTTTCCCTTTATGATGAGTTGTTTACATCCATTTGTTGGAGGTTCATATTTACATCAAGTAAGGTAGATTTTAAACACATTTTACTCTTTGAATCTTCACTTAATATGAAAATGGAATCCTAGGGAGAATACTTGCTTTTAAGGAACAATGCTTTTCTTGTTTTCTTTTAAGGGTTATCTGTTCCTTGAAATGCATCATTCCATTTGTGTGTGGAAAAGAAAGTAAGAGTAGATGTTAAAATTTTTCTAATCTAAAGTTGATTTTTCCACAAGTTTGAATCCACCCTGTAGTAGTCAGGACTCGTGAGGGAAAACTGCATGAGTGTCTCCATCCTGCAAGGGCAGAATTTGGCCTGTAAGTAATGCCAATGACTGGGACTGAATTTAGCACAATATCAAAGACAAGAAGCAATGGAGAAAATCTCAATGTAACAGGTGGTCACCCGGGAAAAGGTAGGTCCAGGCTTCCTGTTCCACCCAAGAAAGGGTAGAGCTGAGCAGGGAGGAGGAGAAGGTAGAGAAAAGAAGATGAAGAAGGAGAACTGGAGGAAGTACATGGAGCAGAGAGACATGTGAGGAAGCTGCACTTGCTTTTCAGTTTTGGACTTATACTAGGGAGACGATGGGAGGGGACACTTGAAAGAGATGTGGGCGAGAGACCAGTGGGGAGGCTAAAAAACAGCAGCCTCTATCTTGACTAGTGCTTGATTTTGCCCCCTTTCTTCCAGACTTGCCTGGCTCAGTCCGCCCCTTTCCTATGGGTCCTCACCAGAAGGTGCTTTAGATTTGTGGCAAACTCTCAGTCCTTTGAGCTAACCCGGTTTGGCTGGGCATTTACCCATGAGGGCATGTATTACTTAGGGTGTTTTGTGTGAAAACTATTTTATCTATTCTTTCCCTTCTCTTTTGCTTATTGCACATTAATTGTATTAATGTTTCTCTTCATAAAGGTCATATGAATTAGTGTGCTTTATTTGATGTGGCTGAGAGCAGGCAGGTATGGGATTTGTGGAGTGTCCTTTCTCCAGCCCTGCAATATTAAGATGCGCTTGTATTACAGACAGTGTGGTGAACCCTATGGCACTGTGATAAGCATGTATTTTGAGAGATATAACTTTATTTGGGGGGGACTGATTTACTTTCGTAGGGGTTTTTGTCTATTTTTTTAAGATAGTTGCTTTTTTAATTAGCATAATTCCCTCCAGTTCCATCCATATGGTTACAAATGGTGAGAGTTTCTCTTTTTTTCATAGCTGGGGCAAAGTAAGTCAGAAGGAGATAGACAAATAAAGATGATTTCACTTATCTGTGGAATACAGAGAAATTAAACAAAGGGTCAGACAAAACCAAACCAAACAGTCAGATATCTGACTTGTGAATGCAGGGTGCCAGAGATGTAGGGGAGGGACAAAGAGAGCGGGGAGAGTAAAGATGTGGGGTACCCAACAGATCACACAAGAAGGTTATGGGTGCCTTAGGGTGGGTGCAGTGACATACAGCTAGAAAGGTGTGATCCTGTTATAAGCTAATGTCACCTCAAAAAAAAAAAAAAAGAAAAAAATAAGGTCATATACTAGAAAAGTCTTTCAGCTTACTCATTAGAGTGAAGCATAATAAATATAGTTCTAAAAGTTTGCATACAACCATTAATTGTAAATAGATGTTTTCTAAAAAAATACAACTTTACCTTACCCAGGTTAATAATCTAGCTTTCTGTTCTTGACATTGCTTTTAAAGCACCAATTGTTCCAGTATCTGTTCTCTAAATTTCTTTACCCTTTAGAAGTCTTGTATCTCAGTGATTATATTAAAAACCACAATGGTTCCTGGTTAAGAGGTAAGTTTTGATTCTACAATTAAATGCCCTAAGGGCAGGGGACAGGTTCTTAACAGGAAATATAGGCAAGATTGTTCAACAGTTTGTGTAAAAAAAATGGGAGAATAATTATCAACAGTAGAAAGTCGCAAAGGAAGCTCAATGTGTAAAGCTAAGAAATTTTACTTTGAAAAATAACTTATCTTAGATTCTGTGTATGTTTACTCTTGAGGTGAAGGGGCTGTCACTTCAGAAATCAGCATGTTCTTGATCATGTTGATTAGTTTGACTTCAATTTAAAAGGCAGTAAGGAAGGGCACGCTTGAGGAGGAGACAGTGTCCTCAAGGATGAGCAGGGCAGAGCAGATGAGAGGTTGAAGAGAGAACAGGGTTGCCATGAATAAGAAGAGGTTGGCCCCTGGCAGTGGAGGTTCTCGGTATTTTGACTGATCTGGTGATTCTAAACCCAGATCAGATATCAGCAAAGGATCTCAATCCTGGTAAGCCTCAAAGCCAGGACTGTGGCTTTCTGCAGGGCCAGGGCCAGGTGTGTGCTCACAATGCAGACGTCACTTTCTCTACATTTTCTAGCTTCGTCTTTCCTCTCTTCACTTGACTTGTCTAGTTATACCTAAAATAACCCTTTTTATTCATTTTTCCTCTTCTACAATACCCAGAAGAAAATCTCAGTTTTGTGAAAAGTTTTAAATGGCAATCCTGGCATAAGAGAGAAGAAACTAGTTCTGGCAAAGACAGAAATACAAAATGCATGATCATCAGCTAGAATCCGTAACTACTTAGTTTGGTATAATAAAGTAGAAGTTACCTAACATGTCACCCAGCCTGGATGAAGAAGATATGAAGGAAACTTTCAAAATGGTCAGATCCCCTGCCAGTGTTCCTACTGAAATCAGCATCCATTAGCTTATAAAAATGATCACTATCACCATCAGCCCTACTGCTAACTCTTTATTATGCCCATTTCATCTCTTACAACACTCCTAGGCCCATTTCCTGAATAACAACTAAATTAGAGTTAATATTAGTGACTTTGAGTAAAGGAATGCTCACTTGTAACTGATAGCAAGTCTCCCTAAATTTTCAGAATTTTCTGCAATTTCTCCTTTTGCCTCCACATAAGAAAACAAAATGGGGAAAAAAAAAGTGTCATAAAAAGCTATTCCACTAAGGGAACTACACTAGCCTCTCAGTCTACACCTTTTGAATCCTGGTAATTTACTCACTAATAGAAGGTGTTGCCATTGCTTACCAGTCTTCACCATCTCTACCATGTCGTTGTAGGGTACTGGTTGCCCACACAGAGGAGCTAACCCACATTTGGTTCTCTGAGCAGAGTTTACTTATCTGTGTCATAGTGAGTGAGTTTACAGTCTCACATCCCCAATTTTTACTTATGTGTTTGTATGTTAGGTCAATTATTAAGTAATCCTATTCTCTGGATGCAAGGCAAATAAAATGGTAGTGTTAAGGGAATAAGGAAAATGAACACGAACTAAGGGTTGACTTTATATACATGCCTTTGGCCATTTTTATGTCTAGAAAGCTGATACTTAGCAT